TATATTAGATTCCACATTTATGGATATTGGAAAACAGAACAAAAGGCCCCAGAGGTCCTGTCTATTGCATGGAAGCCTTGTTTTGTCCTGCCTTTCTTCCGCTTTTTATACCTCTCAGTTCCTACCTGGAAATCCCTCAAATTCACCCTAGTGCTGTTCGTTTCTTGCAGACAGACCTCTATCCCTTAATCAGCAGAGTACGCACATTATGCCAGGGACCTCTTAGGAAATGATACTGAAAAAGACTGAATGGTTTTTCCAAGTCCCAGAAGCAGTGAGTAATAAAACTGGAATTAGAAACCAGACCCCAAGTCCAAGTCCAAGCTGCTATCACATTTCAGAAAGAATACAATTAACAAGAGAAAAACCCCAATAGGCTTGCTGTCTCCTGTATTGGCTCAAAATCCTCATCATGCCCAGTGGTCTCTCAGGGCCCTGTCAGAGGTTCCTGCCCTGCCAGTTCCAGGCCTGCTGGCCCCCCTTTGAGGACCATTCCGGTAGATATCTGAATACCTCTCTCCTCTCTCAGGAACAAAGACCTGCAAGTCCCCATTATGTCCTTTGAAGTAATTAGTCCCAATCAGGGGTCATTGGCAAATGGGCAATGGTTGGTTTGGAGGGAATGGAGCCTTGGGCCCTGGGCATCTCTTGGAGGTGGTATGCTGGCTGAGACCATTAACAAGCACTTGAAGATCATGTCAACTTCTATTGAGCATCAGCTGTGTATTAGGCCTCATGAGACAGAAATATGGAGTGTGGATTCTGCCATCTTTGTTTTTTTATTATTCATCCCAAAGGAGTCGGCCATCCTTTACTTTTGTTTTCTTATATATTTGTTTCTGATTATACATTTACAACACAAAAAAATTTAAGAAACTCAATCACAAAAATATGTAATGGAAAAATCCTCATAATTTGTCCCTTAATCCCTCCCCACCCCAAATAATTACAATTTGGCTTTTTTGTGTATTTTAATTTTTTTAAAATTTTATTTTTAAGCAACTTTAGATTCATAGCAAAATTGAGCAAAAAGTACTAAGATTTCCCATATTCCTCCCTGCCCCTCAGGAAACAAAACCCCTCCCACTGTCAGCAACTTCCACCAGAGTGATATGCTTGTTACACTGCAAATGTAGTGTGCAAAATATAGTCTACAAATTAGTGAATCCACATTGATGTGTCATTATCACCCAACCTCCATTGTTTACATTAAGGTTCTTGGTGTTGCACATTTTATGGTTTTTGGCAAATGTTTAATGACATGTATCCACCATTATAGCATCATACAGTTTCATACAGGTTTTACTGCTCTAAAATCCTAAAAATCCTTTGTACTCCATCTATTCCTTCCTTCCCACAATCTTTGACAACTACTGATCTTTTTAATGTCTCCATAGTTTTGCCTTTTCCAGAATGTCGTATAGTTGGAATTGTATAGTATACAGCCTTTTCAGATGGTATATTGTTTAGATTGTTTTCTTCAGGGATCCCTGGGTGGTGCAGCGGTTTGGCGCCTGCCTTTGGCCCAGGGCGCAATCCTGGAGACCCGGGATCGAATCCCACGTCGGGCTCCCGGTACATGGAGCCTGCTTCTCCCTCTGCCTATGTCTCTGCCTCTCTCTCTCTCTCTCTCTCTCTGTATGACTATCATAAATAAATAAAAATTAAAAAAAAAGATTGTTTTCTTCAAGTGCACAATATTATTGCTTATTAATTAATTAAATAAATAGGGATAATATAAAATATGTTATTTCTTTAGGTAATACTGTATCTTGAATATATTTTCTTACCAGTGTATTTATTTATTTATTATTTTTTAAGATTTTATGTATTTGAGAGAGAAAGAGCATGAGTGTGGGGGGGAGGCAAAGGAGAGAGTGGGGGAAGCAGACTCCCCACCAAGCAGGGACATGGAGATCCATCCCAGGACCCTGAGATCATGACCTGAGCTGGAGGCAGACACCCAACCAACTGAGCCACCCAGGCATCCCTTATCAGTATATTTAAAAGATAATGGTAGTAATATAATAGCTAAATTCATTGACTATTTACTATGTATCACATACTGTTCTTCTATAAATGCTTTTCATGTCTGTTATGGGCTGAAATGTATCCCATCCCCCCAGTTCACATGTTGAAGGCCTCTTCTTCAGTACATCAGAATGTAACTGTATTTGGAGAGAAGGTCTTTAAAGAGATAATTAATTAAAATGAGGTCACTAGGGTGGACCCTAGTCCGATGTGGCTGGTGTCCTAAGAAGAAGAGATTAGGACACAGATGTGCACAAAGGGAAGATCACATGAAGGAACGGAGAAGACAGCCATATACAAAAGCCAAGGAAAAAGGCCATGAGGAAACCAATCCTGCTCACACTTGGATTTTGGCTTTCAGCTTCCGGAACTGTGGAAAAAAAATGTCTGCTGAGTTCGTCTGTGGTACTTTGTTATGGAAGCCCTAGCAAAGTAATATAATGTGTAACTCACTTATTCTCAGCATAACCCTAAGAGGGATGTACTATTATTCCTTTTCTATAGGCAAAGAAAGTAAGGGGATCCCTGGGTGGCTCAGCGGTTTAGCACCTGCCTTTGGCCCAGGGCGTGATCCTGGAGTCCTGGGATCGAGTCCCGCATCGGGCTCCCTGCATGGAGCCTGCTTCTCCCTCTGCCTGTGTCCTGCCTCTCTCTCTCTCTCTCTCTCTCTCTCTCTCTCTATATATATATATATATATATATATATATATATATATATCATAAATAAATAAAATATTTTTAAAAAAGAAAGAAACTAAGACACAGGGAAACCAAATAACTTGTTTAAGACCACCTACAGTATAATGCCAAGATAGACTAAGACATATGCGGTAACAATCCCTATGTCATTCACACTGCAAGTTCATTGAGGACTAGGGCAGAGCACAAGCTCTTCATGATTACTCACGGACCCAGGCTCATGGAGCCTCCATCTCAGTCCATGTTCTTTGGTGCCTCAGGTGGGGAAAGAATATGTGATGAATCTCTTATTGACTTCTTTTTTAAATTTAAAAAATTTTAATTTTAATTCCACTTAGTTAACATACAGTGTTATAGTAGTTTCAGGAGTACAATGTGGTGATTGGGTGTTCGCAGCCGCCGCCCCGCGGTCGCTCGCCCACGCCAGCGCCGCCTCTAGCTCGCTCGAGCTCCAGCCGAAGGAGAAGGGGGTAAGTAAGGAGGTCTCTGCACCGTGGCTCCTACAAAGCAGACTGCCCGCAAGTCGACCGGTGGTAAAGCACCGAGGAAGCAACTGGCTACAAAAGCCGCTCGCAAGAGTGCGCCCTCTACTGGAGGGGTGAAGAAACCTCATCGTTACAGGCCTGGGACTGTGGCGCTCCGTGAAATTAGACGTTATCAGAAGTCCACTGAACTTCTGATCCGCACACTTTTCTTTTCTCGCGTCTGGTGCGAGAAACTGCTCAGGACTTCAGAACAGATCTGCGCTTCCAGAGTGCAGCTATTGGTGCTTTGCAGGAGGCAAGTGAGGCCTATCCGGTGGGCCTCTTTGAAGACACCAACCTGTGTGCTATCCATGCCAAACGTGTCACAATTATGCCAAAAGACATCCAGCTAGCACGCCGCATACGTGGAGAACGTGCTTAAGAATCCACTATGATAGAAAACATTTCATTCTTTAAAAAAATTTTTTTTTCTCTTCTTCCTGTTATTGGTAGTTCTCTGAACGTTAGATATTTTTTTTTCCCCATGGGGTCATATACCTAGTATATGATTGCAAGTGGAAAAATAGGGGACAGAAATCAGGTATTGGCAGTTTTTCCATTTTCATTTGTGTGTAAATTTTTAATATAAATGCGGGGACATAAAGCATTAATGCAAGTCCAAATGTTTCAGTGAACACGTTTCAGCAGTTCAACTTTATAACAATTATAAATAAACCTGTTAAATTTTTCTGGACAATACCAGCATTTGGATTTTTTTTAAACAAGTAAATTTCTTATTGATGGCAACTAAATGATGTTTGTAGCATTTTTATCATACAGTAGATTCCATCCATTCACTATACTTTTCTGAGTTGTCCTACATGCAAGTACATGTTTTTAATGTTGTCTGTCTTCTGTGCTGTTCCTGTAAGTTTGCTATTAAAATACATTAAACTAAAAAACAAAACAAAAACACAAAAACAATGTGGTGATTCAACAATGGCAGACAGCACCCTGTGTTCATCATTTCAAGTCCACTTCTTAATCTCCACTACCTATTTAACCCATCTCCCCAGCCTCTTCCCATCTGGTAGCCATCAGATTGTTCTATTAAGAGTCTGTTTCTTGCTTTCACCTGCTCTCTTACATTTTCTCTTCCTTGTTAAACTCCACATGAGTGAAATCACATGGTACTTGTCTTTCTCTGACTTATTTTGCTTAGCATAATACACTCTAGCTCCATCCATGTCATGGCAAATGGCAAGATTTTATTCTTTTTTTATGGCTGAATAGTATATACACACGTATATATACACACCACATCTTCTTTATCCATTCATTAATGGATGGACACTTGGGCTGCTTCCATTCCTTAGCTACTGCAAATAATGTTGCTCTATACATAGGTGTACATGTATCCCTTTGAATTCGTGTTCTTGTATTCTTTGGGTAAATACACAGTAGTGTGATTACTTGATTGTACAGTAGCTCTATTCTTAACTTCTTGAGGAATCTCCATAATGTTTTCCACAGTGGCTGTACCAGTTTGCATTCCCACCAACAATGCACAAGTGTTCCTTGACCTGTTGTTTCTTGTGTTCTTGATTTTAGCCATTCTGACAGATGTGAGATGGTATCTCATTGTAGTTTTGATTTGCATTTCCTTGATGGTAAGTAATGTTGAGCATCTTCTCTTGTGTTTATTGGCCATCTGGACGTCTTCTTTGGAGAAATATCAGTTTGTATATTCTGTCCATTTTTAATTGGATTATTTGTTTTTTTGGATGTTGAGTTTTATAAGTTCTTAAAAATATAGAATGCTTTACAAACTTGCATGACATTTTTGTGCAGGAGCCATGTTAATTTTCTCTGTATTGTTCCAATTTTCATATATGTGCTGCTGAAGAGAGCACACTCTCTCATAGACTTCTAAGTCTTCTGCATGCTCAGCACTTCTACTTACATGTCTTCAACTAAGCAAGTCCTAAGGCTATCCCTATCTTCAAAGGGATTAAGGGAGCACAATCCCCTGTACTCAGGAGAGGAGAATGAGGATATTTATAAATTAGTGTCATGGCAACCACCTGGGCCAGGCCAGCCCAGGCAAACAAAAGTCTACACTCTCAATGTGTATTCCAAAATACAGGTAGATGGTGTGTATTGAGGAATTAACTTAACTCAAAGGGGGTTCTGGCTTTTCTCTCAGCTAGTGGAAGTACTCTCTAAGCCCCAGGAATATCCTGCCTTGATCAAACCCTAGCTTTCCTCTTTATTTTTTCCCACCATCTCCCCCTCCCTTTCCCATGTTCCTAAGTCCTCTGTTCTCCAAATATTACTGGCTCCTTTATGCTTCAGCAAGCTCATACACGCTATTTTCTCTGCCTCATCTACCCTACTTGAGCTGCCCAGGGAGACAATCCATCATTCAAGATTTGGCTTGAAATCTCCTTTCCTTCAAAGACATTTCTTTTCCCTGTCAGAAAGTGTTGTTCATTCCTTTCTCTGTGTTTGCATATTTTTTTTAATTTTTATTTATTTATGATAGTCACACACACAGAGAGAGAGAGAGAGAGAGAGAGAGAGAGAGAGAGAGAGAGAGAGAGGCAGAGACACAGGCAGAGGGAGAAGCAGGCTCCATGCACCGGGAGCCCGACGTGGGATTCGATCCCGGGTCTCCAGGGTCGCGCCCTAGGCCAAAGGCAGGCGCCAAACCACTGCGCCACCCAGGGATCCCCTGCATAATATTTTTTTATCAGCATATGTTGTAGACTTTCTATTTGGTTATAAACAAAAGTAAACACACCTAACAATGATGCAGGATGAGAAAAGGCTATAACTGGTCTCCAAAGATGGATCTCAGTGCACTGCAATTCTTTGCTACTCATGTACTTGTGCAGTCCTCTCCCTCATTGACTCTGGACTGGCTATGATTCTGTTAATAGAATGAAGTGGAGATGATGCTGTGCCAATTCTGGCCCCTTTAGAAGGAAACGCAGCTTCCATTACCTTCTAGAACTTAGCTGCCATGCTGTGAGGAAGCCCAAGCAGCCATGTGGAAAACCCAAATAGAGAGAAGCCCAACACTACTTGGGGGAAGGAGGAAGACTCAGCCATTCCTGCATCACTGGCAAACTTCCACATGACAATAACCTCCCCTACTATGTGATGCGCCTGGCTGGGAAACACCAAGGGGGCCAGCAGAATTGCCCCGTTGAGTTAGGTCAACCCATAGAATTATAAGGTAATGATATGGCTGCTGTTTTAAGTCACTGAGTATTGGGTTTGGAGGTCATTAGACTGTGAGGATAACAGTAACACAAAACATTAAGTATCCTGGATATTTCCCTTGCATAAAGGAAGAAGATAAAGAAACATTCTAAGCAAGAAGTATGATTTCTGAAACACAAAGGGCAGTTCAGCTCATCAAATGTCCGGTTAATAGTGCATCTCTCCTGATTGTTTTCCCTATTAACTAAAGTTTCCAAGAGTCCCATGCTATGTAGCTTTAGTCCTTTAAGGAAAAATTCAATTTATTATAAAAAGAAAGACAAAAGACAGGGTCTATGTGGTGAAGATATGAAGGTAAAAATGAATAAATAAAATGTTCAGTATTTCTTTTTTTTAAAAAAAAAGATTTTGTTTGAGTGAGTGAGCAAGAGAGAGCAAGAGAGCCATTTCTTCCTCCATAGCATTTTCCATAGTGTATATTTATTTTTGTTTGTTATCTGTCTCCCTCCACTAGAGTGTGAGCTCTGAGAACACAGACTTTGCTTTGTCCACTGCTGTATCCTCAGTGCTGAAAAAAAGTGATTGGCATGTACTTGGCACTCAATAAATATTTGTTGAATGGATGGGGGTGGAATGTCTCAAAACTCTACTTGCAGCTAAATAGAAATGCTAAGCAATAAAGTATACTTGATTCTTTTGCTTAGCATCACAGATAATTTTGCCATTATAGTAAGTTTTCTAAAGTGGCTGGGTTTCCTAAGTCATTACATAATTACCTCTTAAGGCTGAGTGAGCATTTAAAAGTGCAATTTCTAAATTGTTTTGCCTATATAACATCTCTGCTATTGACATTATCATTTAGCAAACATTGTGATTTTTTTTAAACACGTCCTAGAAGAAATCAAGCTGCAATAGCACCATAGCATAAAAGGGAAGAGAAGTGGACTTAGTGACAGTTCTAACCCACCCCATGTCAGCCAGATGGCCTTGGTAAAGCCACTTAAGCTCTTTGAGATTTTTTCCTTCACCTGTAAAATGAAGATACCCTACCAAGTCTACCTAATTTGGTATTGTGAGGGTGAAATAAGAAAATATGTAGAAGTGCTTTGAACACCTGAAAAGCATCATGAAAACATAAGGTGGTATAATTTTGCCACAGTAATAATCAATCATCGACTTTTTTTTTAAAGTAGGATCCACAGCTAGCATGAAGTCCAATACAGAGCTTGAACTCACAAACCTGAGATCAAGACCTGAGTTGAAATCAAGAGTCAGATGCTTAACTAACTGAGGGATTGATGACCCTCAGTCATCAACTTTTAAGCACCTGGTATAACTGGGGGACCATGCTAGAGCTGCAGGAGGAGTCTATATTTAAGCTGACAGAGAGGCTTTCCTTTTTGTTGGAGGGATGGGTGACAGCATGCCCCTTAAAAATTTGCTCATCTGGAGATGCAATCATCTCCAGAATTTGTCTCAGATACAAATGTAATTTTTAAAAGAATCAACTGATTCAAATTGTATCTTGACATGTTAATTTATATCAAAGGGGGCTAATGAGCCATAGACCTCTTATTAGTTAGAGGCCACCCCTCAGTGTATGCATGTGTCTGTGTCCTTTTGGACTTTATTCTTCTGTTCATATTGCTTTTTAAAAATTATATAAGTAATAGGGTAATATTAAAATTATATAGGGTAAAATTTTATAAATAAATTATATTTAAATTTATTTTATTTAGGGGCATGTATCCCTTTAACACACAAACATACACACACACACACACACACACTCATGCTCCTAAAACTAATATCTTATTTAATGGTCAAAATTTATAAATATTAAAATTTATAAAATTTTATAAATTTATAAAATTAAGAAATTATATATTTAAATTTATAAATATTACAATTATATAAAAATAGGGTAATAAATAATTATAAAAGTGGCTTATTTGGTTGAGTAGCTGACTTGATTTTGGTTCAGGTCATGGTCTCAGGGTCCTGGGATCAAGCCCCTCATTGGGTTCCATGATCAGTATGAGTTTGCTTTCTCCCTCTCTCTCCCTCTCCCTCTGCCCTTCCTTGCCCTTCCCTCATGTTTCTCTTTCTCTGAAATAAATAAATAAAATCTTTAAAAAATTATATAAGTACTACATGAATATTTCTACTGGGGAGAAATGTAATATAGAAGTGCACCAAGAAGGAAAAAGTCTTTCGTTCCTTTGCCCATCATATTGGGGTTTATTTGTTTGTTTATTTATTTATAAAAAGATTTTATTTACTTATTTATTTCAGAGAGGGGGAGCTCAAGTAGGGGGAGGGGCAGAGGGAGAGAACCTGAAGCAGACTCTGTGCTGAGCACAGAGCTCAATGTGAGCTTGGTCCCATGACCCTGAAATCATGAAAAGAGCCAAAATCAAGAGTCACTTAACTGACTGAGTCACCCAGGCACCCCATAATTGGTTTCTTTTAAAATACACTTTAAATGAATCTCAATAAGAGGAAGTAACCATTGAGACAAGAAAAAACTTGAAATCATACATGACTTATAAACAAATATTAGGGCAGCCCCGGTGGCACAGCAGTTTAGTACCGCCTGCAGCCTGGGGTGTGATCCTGGAGACCCAGGATCGAGTCCCAGGTCGGGCTCCCTGCATGGAGCCTGTGACTCTGCCTCTCTCTCTCTCTATGAAGAAATAAAATCTTAAAAAAAATAAACAAATAGTAGAGACATTGGTAATTTCCTAGGGAAATTCATATTGGCAAAATTGAACTCATTAGAATTAGAAAAATTTAAAAGATCAATTTCCATAGAAGATACAGAAAATTATTAAGTAACTACCCCCCCCCAAAGAAAAGCACCAGACCCAGAGAATTTCACAGAAAAATTCTACCAAAACATTAATATAGGACACTTAAAAGGAAGGAAAACTTTCTAATTTCTTTTTTTTAAGATTTTATTTATTTGAGAGAGAGAAAGAGAACTAGAGAGAGAGGCACAAATGAGGTGAGGAGCAGAAAGAGAAGCAGAGCAGCTGAGCAGGGAGCTGCATGCAGAGCTTTATTCCAGGACTCTGGGATAATGACCTGAGCCAAAGACAGTCACTGAACTGACTGAGCCACCCAGGTGCCCCTCTAATCTCTTTTATGAAGCAAACATAATACTGATATCTAAACTAGATACACTGCAGAGAAAGAAAACTATTGACCAACATAATGTTCATTGATATAAAAATTTTAAATAAAATATTAGCAAAAAGAATTCAATGCCACATTAAGAAAATAAAACATCAAAACCAAGTGGGATTTATTCCAGAAATGCAAACCTGGTTTAATATTTGGAAATTAATTAATTCATACCATAATAATAAATCAAAGGAAAAGATCATATTATGTCTGTATAGAAGCTGAGAAAGCCTTTGAATGAAACGATACCCATTTATCATGAAAACACTCAGAAATATAAGAATTAAAGAATACCTTTTTAAAAAGTTTTTATTTAAATTCCAGTTAGTTAACATACAGTGTGATATTAATTTCAGATGTATAATATAGTGATTCAACATTTCCATACACTCCCCAGTGCTCATCACAAGTGCCCTCCTTAATCCCCATCATCCATTTAACCCATCCTCCCACCCATCTCCTTTCTGGTAACCATCAGTTCATTCTCTATACTTAAAGA